CACATTATAACGACTCCACGGCTGAAAGAGCAAGCATGTTCGGCAACGGGAATTCGAAACGTGTTTAATGAACGATACACATGTACTTACTTACATTAAAGTACAGCCAACAGCCGTGATGTCAATAATATACAGACAAATACTTTTTCTCACTCATTTATAACTTATCCATCCACAAAAATTTTGCAATATACTTAACAAAAAATATCGTCATTTTACACCTTACGTGCACATGTATTAATTAGTTTACTTACTGCTTTCTTAATGTGAAATGTAATTTACAGCACTTATTTGAGTAGATCATTATATATCTACTCCTAAGTTCAGTTGTGTTTCACTTTTACTACAACTGTTTTCTTTGTAATATTTGGTGAAAGTATACTAATTAATACAAATAATCAAGTTCACACAGTAAATGATGTAAATAAGTAAACTATACAATGTTTATAATAATAATTAGAATTACTTATAGACAACGTACCAACGCGTGGTAAATAAATATGTAAGTCGACAACGACTTGTAATGACCAAAACAAAATTATGACGTTATCGCCACCTAGTATCAGATAATATATACTGACTACAATAGTCCATCTACTTCAAATGGAAAGCATCCTACAACAGACTTGCCCTAATTTGGGGTTTTGTGAACAGACACAGTTTTTCTAAACAGTGTTTAATGTCCAAGATCGTCCGTTTTTGAGCAAGTAGTTCAAAATTCTGTATTCTATAACACATACTGTGCACTGTTTGTAATACTTCAAAGTTACTGAATTATTAGTATAATAACACAATTAGCTCCCTTTTCGCAATTTTTTACACTGTATTACAGTTTAAGACTTTATAAAAAAAATCGTACCAATTAATAAATCTATGATAGAACTTGAAAAAAAAAATGTGACCCAAAATATGCATTTTTCTAAGATTTTAGCTGTTAACCTAATTTATGAATGTTCGTGACCCTTATCTTTGGTGACGAAGTCCAGATTCTGGAAAGAAGTTATCCTTGATCTGGTAAAATCATAGGGTTGGAATTGCCCAAATTATCATGAATATTTAAAAGTAATTTATATTTACATATTACACAAGTAACTTACACAAAAATGGCCTCGTGATATCAACACACTGATTGAAAGCTTCAGCGTTTATAAATTATCAACTCGTCACCACCACCTGACATGCTTACGTGTTGAGTCGCTTACAAATGTCACGTGCCACCAGGACAAGATCATTCATTCAATAAACCGGGTTATAAATGCGCTAGACTACGTCATCGGTTATGAAATGCAATCTATACCTGTACAAGTTTGACAAAAAAACGTCATCTAAATCAAACGCAGACATGTATTTGTTTACAGTCGTTCAACATGTACTTTATAACTTACTTACTATAAACATCCGGCCTTACCGCCTTGAAATGAACGATCAACAAGAAATAGACAGTACACATAAATAACAAAAATTAGGCTACCATTAAACCAAAAAATAATATATTCTATTGCACTATATGAAAGACTAAACTCAGAATAACGTATATATATATATATATATATATATATAAACTAAATTAGCTCAAAAATAGGCAAGAAAGCTACAAATGTTCACAACTCCCTCTAGTAACACATTGATTAATACAAAATTTGTTGTATTCCTTTCAGCAGTAACACAAGTATATCCCATTTAATACTAATCAGTCTTAAGCCTTGAACATAAATCAGCTTTTTTTTCATCAAGATGTTTCTTTTCTTCTTAAGTGTCACTTGAAAAAGAGTGTTTCCCCAGTAGCAAACTCCGGAAGTAGAATCCGTTTATCTATAGTGCAGGATTATATATGCAAAATTATTAAACGCTGTATCTTTCTCGGTCACCGTACGTGCTACTAAATAACTGGTATGTTCAAGGTTTAGTGAAATACGACCACTTTTAATACTTTCAGTTTCTTTCTGTATGACTGATTCCGGTTATCTTACGCTTTTATGTTAGTTTAACCTTCCCATCTTCAGCTAAATAATGCGATTCATTCACTTGTGTGGCTTAACAATATTTTGTCTCTTGGAATCAACATATTTAAGGAGTTATAGCCTATCATTTATTTTGCAACTGCGTATTCGATTTTCTGCAGTAAAGTCAATTACTTAGGTCTAGTGAGTATTTTATTACTTAATAAAACACGAAGTCACTTTATTCATATTTCAAAGCATGACAAATACTACATCACATTTTAGAAAGATCCGTTGCCCCTCAAAATCAGAAGCTACTGGATGTAATAAAAGAAACAGGATGTGAAATGAATCGAAAAAAAAGTAATATAAAACATTCGAATTATCTTTCTATTCATCTATAAAACTTATTCATCTGGTAAATAGTGGTATAGAAATAATTCTGGTATTAAAATAGTTTAAAGAGAATTTGACCTTTAAGGGGTGATGCTGTTTTTCCAAGCTCACACTCAGATACAGGATTTCACACGTCAGGACTTGCTAATTATATGTAAAAGAAACATAAAAATGTCTTTGAAATTCGCGATGGAACTTTTACAGCATCTTTTATAGATGGTTGTTGCTGTGACAATGGAGGTAATTATTATAATTCGTGAAGGACAGGAGAATAAGAGAGGGCAAAGCCTGATGACAATCAAGGAGACTGCGTGTTTCCTGTAGTTTACTTTTTTTATACTTTCATACACATCTGTCACAATCATCATTATTACTATTTACAACATACGTGAAGCTGAGCTTAGTAAGAACTTAAACCTCTACGTTATCATCCACCTGACACCACTAAATAATCCATCTTGACTCTACCTGCTAATTATATCATCCACCAGATATCTCCATCAGATAATCCAGCCTCACATTACCCATTCACCAGACTCCACCAAATAAGCCATCCTGACCCACCCAATCATTAGATCACCCATCTGACTTCATCAGATAATCCAGCCTGACATTATCCACTCATCAAATCATCTACTTGATTCCATTAAATAACCCATACTGACCATACCCATTCATTAGATTATTCACCTTGACATTATCCACTCACCAGATCATCCATCTGACTACCCCAAATAATCTACCCTAACCGTTCCCACTCATCAGATCATCCATCTGACTACTCCAAATAATTTACCCTAACCGTTCCCACTCATCAGATCATCCATCTGACTACCCCAAATAATCTACTCTAACCGTTCCCACTCATCAGATCATCCATCTGACTACTCCAAATAATTTACCCTAACCGTTCCCACTCATCAGATCACCCATCTGACTTCCCTAGATAATCCACCTTAACATTACTCATTCATCAGGTCATCCATATGACTACACCAAATAACCCATACTGACCTTACCCGCTCATCAGATCATCCACCTGACTTCAAATGTTTGAATGACTTTGGAGATAAATTCTAATTTTGTCGTGACATACAAAAATTCAGTTTTGCTCTTCTTTAAAATCTTTGATTTAAAATCAATATTATTCCTAAACACAAACTGCTAC